CTTGGGATAGAGAAAACTTAAAGGAGAAATGATTTTTTTTTCTTTTTTTACTATACAGAGTATTATAATATTTGTAGCAAATTTTGAAAACCAATTTTATGGCTTTAAGATATTTACTTTATGCCTTTTATTTCTTTAAAGAAAAAAATTTCTATGGACAACAGACATAAACACATATTCTTTGACAGTATATAAGTATAGACTCGAATGTGTATTTTCATTCTCAAGTGATACAGAGCCTCGCTACTCACCTGTGGGCAATGGGTCAAAGGCACCCACATCACTTAGCAGATTTGAGAATCAAAGACTCCCAGGCCCTATCCCAAACCTAGTAAAAATAATCTGTATTTTAATAAGATACCTAGTGATTTTTTTACCCAGCTATCGGGTAATCCTTGGGGAAAGACACAATTACTTTAATAGGGAAATTTTGTCCAAAATATTCAACCAAGAACATACAACGAATTTTAGACATGGTCTATATAACAAAGAAACAAAAAGCTGAAACTTGTCATGTTGCTGATGTATAGTAATGAAGTTTGAGAACAAGAACATGTAAATTAAAATGCTATATATTACATAAATATTCATGAACTGCTTGAATCAGTTATACACAATCTTCTATTGTTTCCAACCTAAAGCAGTTTCTTTAGCAAAACATTGTTAGCATATACAATTGTTGTCTATTACAATGAGTTCTAAAAACATGAAGATTACCTTAGTAAGCAATTATTTAATGACTAAGTACAGTAGTTTCAAAAAGAATTGTGTCCAGCCACTAATGACCATTATTGTCCTGGTTACCGTGCTGTTAGTGTGATGAATTCTAGTCGGACACACTCTGGAAACCCTTTCCCAAAGAAGTTTAGCCAGTACTGAAAATTGTTGCTTTACTCCAAGGATCTTTGAGCAAATCAGTATCCATGCTAGGGGGCAAGGTAGGGGTGAAGAATAGAATTATAACTTGTATTTAGAGTGCACTACAAAGACTGGGATTGGGCTGTGATTCTAAGATGAAGCCAGCGAGAGAGAAGGAAGACGGCTCCAGTAGCTGGTGTTAAGAAATCCCCAGGTTCGTTCAAGCAATTCACTAGTATACGGCAAATTAAAGAAGGTTGCCTCTCTGATCCTGCCCACACCACACACAACTCTCAGGCTGTGATGTACTGATTTCCTTTCTCCTTTAAAGCTCTCCTAGACATTAATATTAACCTGATTGTCCCTGTGAAAGAACATGAAAGCTAGAAAGGTCAGAGAGGGGGAAGAAGGAATTGCTCCATACTGGCCTTTGCCTCCCACCACCCCCTACAGAGGTGCCCCAGGGATGAGCTAAGGCCAGCCACACTTCCCCTTTCTATTATGCTTCCAGGTATAAATATACTGCTAAGAAGAATGTATACACTCCTTCTACCCTAAGATCTCCCTGTGCATTTTCTTATCTGCAAACACTTTTGGAAATATCTTTTTGCTAACCATCCCAGTTTAGAAAAGAGAAGTGCAAGTGCTGCTCCCAATAATGAGCTCCTACCTTTTAAAACAAAACCACGGGAGGCTGAGGCAGTAGGATTGCTTGAGCCCAGGAGTTTGAGGTTGCTGTGAGCTAGGCTGATGCCACGGCACTCACTCTAGCCTGGGCAACAAGCGAGACTCTGTCTCAAAAAAAAAAAAAAATAAAACAAAACCAAATCGTCTGAGCTCTAGGTCAGTACATCATTCACTGATGTATGCCCATACCTGGCACAGTGCCTGGTTCATAAAAGTTGCTCAATAAATGGTGGTGAATTGCACTTATTTCCAAGTATTCTAGCACTGAATTTGTCAAATCTTGGGATGTACACTGAAATCAGATGATGGATTTGAGCTTACCCATTCACTCACAGGGTCATCATTTAGTCTTTCCCCCAACTTAATTATTTGCCATTTTTCCTTTGCTCATCCCCCCAAAGGACTCAGTTTCAGGGATATTTTACAGTAATACCACATTTCAAATAGTATAAATGCTGAATAGAATTTAGTCTTATGTATCATTAGTGAATGAAAGAATCAAACAGTGCAATAGGAGCTGTTTAGTGCACAGCAGACACAGGAAAGCAAAAGTGAGTATAGCAAACCACCCCCCCCACCTGAAACAACTTTTCCTTTCACTTACTAATTCTGCTTCTTATTTTTGTCCCCCTTTTTTCCTTCCTCTTATCTTCATTTTTCCTCCTCTCCATGTTTTATGTTCTTCTTTACTCTGCCTTTAGGCTGGTTGGGCACCCACAGGAGTGATCATTATTACCAAAGGCTTTCAATTTTCCCATCCCATCTGCCTTATCGTAAGGATGGCTCTTGTTACCAAGGAAAGGATGCCCAGGTTCAAAAAATTTGCAATTGGTCTTCCACCTGTTGCGTCTCCCATAACAGAGCTCGCTGGGTAGAGTCAGCAGAACAAGCCTACTTAGGGTCTCCCTATACATCAGTTTGCCATGGTAAAATGCTACTAATCTATTGGTTAACTCAGACAAGTTTACATAGTTTACATACAAATTAATTTTTTTTAAAAAATCAAGATAACATTAGTCAAACCCTTATCTATAAGTTGCTTATTGGAAAAAAAAATGAAATGCCCTACACAATAACCTGCTTTGAAATCAACACTTTTTTAAAAAAAAAAAGTCATATTCACAAATACGACTGGTTTCTAAGTCAGTCCTTCTCTACATATGAATATATAGATCAGAGAGCTCAGTTAATGATGTCATCAAATAAAACAGACTTTTACATCTGTTACTCGTTCATTGCCCAAGAGTTCTTGCTTCGCTTAAGATTTCTGAAATACAATAAGTATTACAATTTCATACTTTCTTGATAATTTTCTTCTCTCCTTCTCTTTTCTATTCCAAAATATGTGTATGTCTATCCTCAACCAATTTCGATATGTGGCATTTTTTTAAGTCACATCTATTAACACTAGTGTCTTTTTCATATAGACACTATCATAAACCAAGCCAAATGTTCATTTCTAGGAAAAACTTTAAAGTACTACAGAGATAATTCTATTTTTAAAATTATATGATAGTGTAATTATCCTATCAAATTTGGAGTCTTTCAATTAATATCTCCATCATTTTAGAAATCTATATTTTAAAAGAAGTGTGCTCAGGAATAAAATCGGTTATGAGCAGTGAAATAAAATTTTTGAACTTTGGTACTAAATTTCGCCCTTAATTGTTAAATATTTATATCTGTATTTCAAAGCTATCTCACCATTTATACTAAATTGCCTTTAAAAATTAGTCTCAATTATATTATGATCTTTCAGATTCTTTGAAAGCATTCCTTCTTAACTTTGATTAAGCAATTATATATAAGCCTCACACTTTTATCAATTATATATCTATGTGGTCTTCAACAACGTTGGCTAATTGGGGCACCGATATTCTTCACACCAAATACTTCTATGTTAATCACCCTAGTGATTCATTAGAGGGACTAAGTATTGAATCAAAACTAAAAACAAAATTTTCTTCAATAGAAGAAGGCCTTCTTGATAACAAGTTGGCCTTCAACTAGGGAAGATATTATGTTGATAAGTCAACATATTTAGATTTGCAAAGGCATATGATTACTAAAGGTTGACAGTATCTTCATTTAAAGCAGTACCCTTGATTATCATTATTTTGTATAAAGTGCCCTGAAAGCACATTAGTAAGCAAATCATTCCAAAACCTTTTAACAATGTTCTTCCATGTCCTGTGCAATCCTTACTTTAGATTCTTATATTCATTATCATAGTCTTCCTAACACTCATCTTTGTGTCTTTGGTATTTTCTTAAATACACCTTTGGCACCTAGTTTTTCCCATCTGTTTTATCAGTTAATGACAATTCTTTAAATGATGTGCTCCATAGAACAAAACTCCAAACAATGGAATCAGACATCTCACTCAAACCTCAAAGAACGTTATGAACCACTTCAAACAATTTCATGAATCTATCCCACTTGTTAAATAATGATCTTTCAAATTTCAAAATATAGGGACTTATCTAAACTCCACCATCAAAGGCATTCTGAAACATTTTGTCAAATAGTGAATGATCAACTAGTATACAAAAATCAGTGCAAAGTGTCATTCAGGCAGCCTTAAACTTAGCACTCTTAGCTAGATGAAGAAATAACATCATGTAGAATTTCTGTTGTTCTCACCAATTTTTGCAGATAAGGATTTTTAAAATTATCAACCCATTAACAAATGTTACCTGCCTACCCTTTTCCTGAGCTTCACAGCCTATAAAAAATGACATCATAAATAAAATTTAAACTCCTAACTAAAGGTCCACCACAAATTTTAACCAAGAATTTAGAGATAAGCCCATCTGCAAGGCTATTTTATTCAATTTCACCTTTAAAGAAAAAAGTCTATCAAGACCGAAAAGGAAAAAAAAAGAGTAAAATGGATCCGTTTGGAGTAATCTGGTTGTTACATTCAGCAGTTAATTTGCAGTGTACGTGTGCCCCATCTTCAATTGCTACTAATGGTACAAAGGAGACTGGTGTCAAACAATTATTTGACATAATGCTTGACAAGCCAAAACATTTCAGAAAGAATAAAGCCTTCCCATGATCATTTACAGAAAATTAGAATTCTGTCCACCCTTAATCCTCAAGGACATGACATATCAATGTAATCTGTTACCTTTTCTTCCTTTCCACTAAAAGTGACAGAAGGTGGACATAGGGGGCTTAAAAGAAAAAAATTTAATCTGTATAACAGGTTAACATAGTTTCCTCCATACACATCTGATTAAAAAAAAAAAAAAAAAGCTTTGCCTCTAAAGCACTAATTCACCACTTTATAACATGTGGACATAGTTTCAATTTAATCTGATGATACTAAGGACTGCTGAGTAATAACCATGGTTCTCTCCAATCAGTTCAGCATGCATCTCATCTTTGATATCAAGTGCACCTGTAATTAGTGCCTTATATTAACATCTTCACTATAAACAGTTCAGGCATTTAGAAACAAAGTATCAATGGATTTAACAGTTACTTTAATTCATTTTATAAATAAGCAACTGAGAATTTTGCTCCAAGTGGCTGCTAGTGTAGCCCATTCCATAAATGGCATTCTCCGAAGCATAAGGCACAATATGATACGAATGCAGCTCTTCATAATAGAGAGACTGAGAACAGCATTCCTGTACCATAAACTTCAGCCGTTTTCTTGTATCAGAATAAGCAGTCTTATAAGAGGGAGCTTCTTTAAAGTAATCATAGCTCTCTTTCTCCGTCTCTAGATGTATCTTCCTCAGCAAATTGTTAATTAACACAGACCTTCTTAAGTAGGTTTCTGGGTCTTCAAGAAACCTGAGCTTCTCCAGAGAAAGTTTGAGAATGCAAGTCCTGTCCTCAGGTAATATCAGGTGCTGGAAAGCAAACACAATCATTAAATCTCCATGGAGAAAAAAAAAAAGAAAAGAAAACTAGAGCATTTGACTATTGACAACATTCATAAAAGTTAAAATAAATAATAATAAGTAAGCCCTTACTTTTGGAAAATACCCATGGTAATCTTGATGTAAATCTTCTTCTTCTGCATATTTTCTCTTAAAATAGGCTACTTTCGACGTTGTTAATGTATATGATAATACTTTTGTTGGATAAGCTAAACAAATAAAATAATTAGAGAAAAGTCAGATTTTATTGTGGCAAAGAGTATTTTATAAGATAAATTCTACTTGTAAAAAGAAATTGGTGACCAAAAATTGGTATCCTTTCTTCACTAAGCAATGTGGCGAAGCCGTTGGTGGCAATTTTCCTATGACTGAAAATGCCACCATTCGGACCCAAAATAGATGTTCTAGATTGGATTTTTATGTTTATTTCCTTTTGCAGCCCCTCAGAAATCAAATGCCGATGCTGTATTTAATTCCATGCCATTCAATGTCAAAACACACCCAAATTTGCAATTGATTCACAAAAATGTAATAAGAGAAGTAATATTTTCATCATTTTTAAACTGCCTAATATACAGAGGAAATTTAATGTTGTTGGATTAATAAAACTGGCATAAAATAGTTGGTATCGCAATTACACTTGAAAGAAAATAACTGTGTATCTATAGGCAAAATTTCAGGATATAGTTACGGTATAGCCATCGCCCTAACATATGGTTTAAAGCAGGTTAATAATAAGTAAATGAAAGATTTAGATAAAGTTCTGACTAGCAAATTTGATATATTTGTATAGTATCTAAAAGTGAAGACCTTTGTTTTCTCCTTTAAAACACTACTGCTGTTGAGGATTCCGATTTGTTTAAGGAAGACAGAATTCTGAAAGCCGATTTTCAGAAATGGTTGGGTTAAAAGGGAGTTCCTAGGATGTACTCTAGGTGGCGCTCATATCACAAAAAGGAGGCAAAACCAACTTTGAACGCTAAGACAAGTAGCTTCCTACAGAAAGCAGTGAATGAATTTAGAAACCAAATTGAGTCCAGTCCAGTACTCATTCAACCTCAGAAGGCCAGACCAGAAAGAATGTTCATATTTAAAGATAATTTGTTTTACCTTTAATCCACACTCTCAAATATGTCTGTGTTGAAAGCACTTAATTCACAAAATAATGAATAGTTTATTAATGTGTTGGTTAAATAAATTTAAGACATCTGATGCTCTTCTAAAATTTTAAAATATTTAAAACTTAAATATTAAAAATGTGTTCAAGAACCTGCCTTTTTTAGTTTTTCCTCCAACTCAGTGGCATCTGAGCTACAAAAGTTTCCTGCAGCCTTTTGTAGCTAGATGGTTTTCCTAAAACAGTAGGAAAAACTACAAAAAAATTACTCCTCAAGCATTCCAAATTTTCATTGACCTCACTGTGGATTATAAAACCAAGACAGCCTTAAGAGTTGGTATATTTTGTCAAAGGAATCAATAATTTTAAATCACTGATGTATCTGATTTAAACAGAGACTAAGCAGGCGTGATGTCACATGTCTGTAATCCTAGCTACTCGGGAGGCTGAGGCAAGAGGATCATTTCAGGAGTTCAAGACCAGCCTGGACAACATAGTAAGACCCTGTCTCTAAACTATTTTTTAAAAATAGATAAATAAAAAGAGACTAATATCTAACACTTCACAAATGAATTAAAGCAAAGACAATAGCTGCAACTATACATACACAAACCCAGAATTTAATGAGCAAACTCAGCTTACATTGAGTTTTCACTGATCTCAATAGGTAAAGAATAAGGAAGAAAATTGTATAGAAAACAAAGAAAGCATCACTGATCCCAGTTTTCTCAGAGCCTATTTTTCAGTAAACTACATTGTTGGGTATATATTTTAAGGATAGAATCAAATAATTAGGCTAAGCTTTGGGTTATCCTGTGTGACAATTATTTTTACTTCTTTTTAAATTGTTTGATTGATATAATTGTGGTTTTCAAATGTTAGTGAGCATCAGAATCACCTGGAAGTGATTGTTGACATACACATTTCTAGATCCCTTCCCCAAAGTTTATAATTCAGTAGATCTGGGCGAGGAACAGAGAATGTGCATTTCTAATAAATTTCTAGGTGACGCTGATGCCGCTGGTCTGGGGACTGCATTTTGAGAGCATCTAAGTTGTAGCATGTGGCAGGTGCAGTAATAGTGCTATAGCAGCAAGTTAAAAGCAGGACAGTCAATCAACTGATTGCCATATCATCAGAGTGCCAAGCCACTGGTTTGATTGATTGTTGTCGTTGCTATCACTTTTGTCCATTGCCTTAGATGCTTTAGCCTCCTGAACAAAGCCAGACTGCATTTTAACTAAATTGTGAAGAATGAAGTCACTTTTCAATATGAATTCCTGGGTTCACATTAAGAAGCATCAATGGCTGTTATTAGCATTTTAGCTAGGCAGGTCACTAATTTTTTTTAACAAGGTCCAGCGAATTACAATCGTGTAGGAGAGAGTGAGGAAAGACTTAGAAATGAAAAGAGTTAACTTTACCATCAGCAAACATGATTTTCTTACATGTATGTTCTTAAAATGTCTACTCATTTTATTTTCCAAACTAATGCAATGTCTGCAGCATTTATGACCAATTAAAAACCTTTAAATAAATGATACAAGGAAGGACAGGGGGCAGCTTATAGAAACAAATGTCAAATAAACTAACTGTTCTGGCTCCCAAGAGAACCCCCAGGGAAGATATTGTGATTTAACAGATCAAGACAAAACAATTATATCAAATGATTCCAAGGTCCATAAAGATTCTTTAAGGCTATATTTAAGCAGTTAGCCTAAGACATAGACTCTATCAGATCCTGAAAATACAAAGAAAATTCTCAGGAGTTCTAGATTTGAGTCTCAGCTTCTCTAGGGGAACACACTTAGCCACTTAGTTTATTGCACCTAAGAAACACCCCCATGGGTTGTTGAAATGCTGACAAATCCTTCACAGCTGGTATCAGTTTGACAATTAACCTCCTTGCAAGCTATTTAGCTATTTGCAACATTTTCAGCATCAAATTGTGGAGGATGGTTTCAGCCACTTTTAGGTTAAAATATACAGCAAACGTTAAGTTCCTACATCTGTTTTCTTGGCTGGATTAGACCTCCAAAAATGCAGAGCTGGAAACTCTTCATTGATCACCTGGATCAGCTTTCTCAGTGTCCAGATGAGGACACTGTAGCACAGAAAAGTTCAATGATTCATAGTCTGATGTGTGGCTGAGAGTTTGGATTTTGAAGTCAGATGGAAGTGGGCTTGAACTCCAGATCTGCTGCTTCTGAGTTGTGTGACTTTGAGCAAATTACATAAACTCTCTATAAATCTCATTTGTAAAGTATGTATAGAATAATACTGGCTCATAAGATCATTGAAATAATTCATGGAAAGTGACTGGCACTGTGCCTAGCATATAGTAAGCATTAAATCAAATCCGAGTGCCAATAGAGACACAGATCTATCCCACAGAGGCCAAGCCCAGCTTGGCCTCCCAGCTCCGATCCAAAGACTCCACCACCCTTCCTCCCAGAGATACTAGATTGTAATTAGACAGTTAAAAAAACTGCAAGAAAATATCGCAAATGGTCAATTTGAAAATTATAGTACAGAGAGTCTACAACAGCACCAAGAAAGTGTTTCTGCTTTACTGCTACTGGTCATGCGTTTTTGGTGAAGGAAATGTAAAACTGTTTTTGAGACATCCAGCTAATCATCTGAATAAGTTAAAGTTGATGTGAATATCCAAAGAAGTTTGCCTGTGATGATCCAGTAAATGTGTAAATCTGTTATCACGCTCCTGAAATTTAAAGGCCAAACTCAACCTAGCCTGTCATTCAAATAAAGCTGACGTAATAGACAAGAAAAAGTGAAATGACTTGATGTCTTCATATTCAGTGTCCTGAGCTCTGAGAACAGTATATAAATTATAAAACTGATTTCGTCTGAGCCTAAATTTATCTCTGAAGGTGAAATGGCTATTGCTGGCTCAAATATTCGAACTGTTTTTAATACTGTAATCCGTGGGCACATAAAATATCTATGCCAGGCTCAGTGCATTTCGTAGCATAAAACTTCAATAAGTAACACATTAAAAGTCAGAGAAGAGAATGATCAACCCTATCGTTAGAGTTCTGGCGGTACAATTTATACATATTTCTTTAAATAAATGTTTAAAATGTAATTACAAATGATTGCTCAAATGCTCATCCTTACTGTTCTATTTCTGCCTCCAGACAACTAAAATCCTATTATTGTACAGTGATTTCATTTGGTACGTGGCCCAGGGACAGTACATTAAGGAAACATCATCAGCAAATTAATTTACAAACACTTGGAGAGGACAGACCACAGAAAAAGAACAACTCCTGTCATAGTAACCCATTCTTTGTCCAAGATTGGAAAGCCTGAGATGTGGTAGAGAAGTGATGAGTTTAATGTAATTTTAGCAGGGTTTTTATTTTCTCCCCCACAACATTTTAATCAAGACATTGCAGAAACAGAGTTGAAACCATCCTATTAGAAATATGTATCCCAGCTATAGACATAAGGGGTAGAGGCTGACCAATGGGGAGAAAGAAGGTGAGTTCTGTCTCAAATCAATAACTGACTTGTGTGGTAGACAAAGCACATGCCTCAACCTCACAATCTCTTGTTGATTTCTCCTTGTATGTTGTTCACTTGGCATGAGCCTTGATAAGTACAAGTGTCCCTGTCTATTTAAATAATGCTTTTCTGGTGGCAAAGCTACTGGACATCCTTCCTTAAGGGTCATGGTCACGTTTGTTGAGAAAAAAGTATCCCTTCTGTCACTGTTAGCCACATTCTGCAATCTTGCTGCATGGCTTAAAATACTTCAGCATAATCATCGAGTTCTGTTTGACAGCACTAGTTCAAATACCAGCTCTATGGTTTATTTGCTTACTGAGTTTGGGCAAGATATTTAAGAGCCTAAATTTCCTCATCTATTAAGTGGGGGAACAATATCAAACTCACTGAGTTGTATGTGAATGAGAAGAGATGATGTTTTAAGGAGGGAAATTCAGCATATTGAAAAGGTACCTCCACTTCCATGTTTATTGCAGCACTATCACAATAGCCACAATTTGGAATCAACCTAACTATCCACCAATAGATGAATGGATAAAGAAATTGTGGTACATATACACAATGGAATATTATATAGCCACAAAAAAAGAACAAAATCCTGCCATCTGCTACAACATGGATGGAACTGGAGAAGATTATGTTAAGTGAAAAAAGCCAAGCACAGAAAGACAAATCTCACGTGTTCTCACCATATATGAGAGCTAAATATTAAAAACAATTGATGTCATGGAGTCAGAGAGTATAATGATGGTTACCAAAGGCTGGGAATGGTTAATGGGTACAAAAATTTAGTTAAATAGAATCAATAATATTTGATAGCACAACAAAATGACTATAATCAACATTAAATTAGGGCATACTTTAAAATAACTAAAATAGAAGAATTGGAATGTCCCTAACACAAAGAAATGATAAATGCCTGAGGGGATAGATACCCCAATTATCCTGATTTGATTAATTCACATTGTATGCCTCTATCAAAATATCACATGTACCCTATAAAAATATACAACTATTAAACACCCATAATAATTAAAAATTTAAAAATAAAAAAGAAGAGATGATGTATAAAAAGCACTTAGTGCCTGTCACATATGTTCATATTTTCTGCTCAATAAACGTTACATGTTATTATTACAATTATTTCACTTTTGAAATTATAAATACATATCCTACTCAGCAGCATTATGTTATAATAGGATATTTGTCCTCTCTTTAGTGTTAAGCACAGGTTACATGAAACATTCATGAGTGTATTCAAGAAGGTGGAGGAGTGCAAAGTTCAAGGCTGCGCCTTTCAGAGACCTTTAGTCTTGTTGATGTTTAACAATATTCCATCAGCCATCTTTCTTTTCTCTCATAATCCCTTGTCTAGCACCTTTCTGGATAATATGATCTATGGCAGCAGAATTCAGTCCCAGTTTTTAGCTCTGAATCACAGGAACAATCTGTTTCTCTGGATTTATCATCCACCTCAAGCACAATATTGACTTTACTGGCAGTTTAGAATTAACAACTAGTTGCAGCTCCTAGAAGACCATCTTAGGAACTTCCAGGGATACTTAGATCTAATGAGTTAAAAGGATTTCTCAAGATAGTAGCAGCATTGTCTGGTACTCGATTACATGTCCCTTGGGATGACTCCAAGCACTGGCATGGAATGTTAAATAAATCCCCATCAATTCCACAAGCCTGTCTTGTTCCATTGGTGATGATCTCTGAACCCAAGATAGCATCGTTAAGTGGGATATGACCAGCCAAGCAATCATGAAGTTATCTTAGATGCTGCACCAAAGCCAACTTCTTCCATGATCTGGCCCTACTTATGATAGAGGCCAAGTGCACTAGGCTTCTTGGGTAAATTGTGTGGTTTACCACCCGCCAGAAGCACATTCCTTGTTTTGAGGAATGATGCTCCCTTTCATTCCACCTTTCCCCTTGGAAATACACATTGTTATATATGGGTTTCAAGAAACATCTTACCAATAATACATAGAAAAATGGTATAACTTCCTTAGATACATAGGACTGTTACTCAGAGATGAGGATTTTAATCTCTAACCTATGGACAACGGTGGCCTTTTGGAAAGTACCTGATCTATATCACCCACATTGTCTTCCACTTTGATATCACCAGCATTCCCCCCCTCCATGGGTATATCAACAAAAATATCTATCCAGGCCAATGTTGCTTCTGGTATCCCAGAAGGTTTGTGCAAAAACATAAGTAATTATTGCCATAAACTGGATGGTGCTGTTATTAGCCTGTTTGTATAAATTTAATTAGGAAAAAGGAAAATATTACAAATATTTGCATTAGATTTAAAAGGGGAAACATTATTAACACTATTTAGATGGACAACTTATTTTTTCATAAAAAGGAAAAAAAAAACTGACAAAGTTTTGACAAAGATTGGCTCCTTCCAAAACCCAAAGATATCCTTCTTCCTTCATTTTAGCACTGAATGGTTTTGGTCAATTTACTCCTACCTCTGCTTCAGAGATAGTATTTTATTTTAGCTTTTTCTAGGTTTACGAAGCATGTTGCTCTGACAAATAGAGCAATCTGAACTGATTATTCCTCGGTTTTAGAGCCACTGTTTGGGATGTCAGTGTTTTCACTGCCAAATCTGCTGGCGTGAGTCATCATGTAGGGAGCCCAGGTGTGGAAGGAAGGACCTCATCCTCTTGATAAAAGTTTTCAACAACTCTCGGTGTTTCAAGGCATCTTCTAAATTCCATGAAGGTTACATGACATAAAATTGAACAAAGAAATTTCACATATACCTAAAAACTTCCAAATAGAGTATGTGAGAAAAAAAGACTGAAATTAGAACTTGGCTTCAGTTTTAATCTGCCTGATCTTAGTCTTATCGAGGCCTTATACTCCTAAGGACCTGCCCTCTTTATAACCCATATGTACAAAGACAGGTGGCTCTCAAATTGATGAGGGTGACTAGATTCTTAAATACAAACTGATGGAATTTTTTTTTATACTTTGGACCCACCAATTTCTCTAGGATTAAATGTTTATATTATGATTAAACCATTTGATTTATTATTTATTTAAAGGTAAATAGTATGACATATTCTGATGAATAACTTTTTAACAGATATATTTATCAAAACTGCACAGTATATATTCTTCATATTACACATTTATGATAAAATCAACATTAAATTTAAGAACCCCTTTCATTTGTCCTTTTTTATTATGACCATAATCTCAATGAAAGGGAAGACTAGTTCACATAAATCAAAGGGCACAGAATGACTTTTCAACTTTTATGCATATTACATAAGATATGTATATATATAAGTTACTAATATACACGACTAATGCATATAGATGAACTAATAATTGTGGCTGCTTTACTCGAACTTTCTTCAGTTTGATAGCATGAATAGAACTCTGTACAAATGTCATGGCAGAGGATAATAAATCTTATTGGTGTCTTCAGATTTATTTCTCACCATAAAAAAATAGTCATGATGGAGAAAGGAAGGACAGGTGGTGCTAAGGGATAGCAAAACCAACAATTTTGATGGTTCAAATGCTCATCTTTAATGCTTAAAATTATTAAACTACAGATATTTCAGTAAGTGACTACAAAGACCAATAATTTTAACGTCTCTTGATATTCATAAATCTGTACCACTAGACCAGGAAATTTTTCAAATAGGTTCCTGAACAGAAATTTTCAATTATTTATTTTTATAAAGGGAGGAAAGGAATGGGACAAAATGCAGCATGCTATATTTTCATGAATTTGATGGTAATTTGCGAGGCTGGTTACCTTCAGGAATGACACATGGATAACTCAGTGTATGTGAAAGTTACACAATGCTGGAGGGCTGAATACTCATTCAAAGGCTGTATTCAGTTTGGAGCTTACAATGTTTAACCCTCATAAGTTTCCGTCATCATGAACTTAATGCAAATTAAATTTAAAACAGCACCACAATCTCTTTTTGAAACTTGGAGTATTCTCTTCATTTCCTTCATTCAGACATGCACCCATGTGCTCAGAAGGCTTCCGCTTGACTTGTTCGCGGAGCCAGACTACCTAATTTGGCCCACCCTAATCGCATGGGTCTCCGAGAGGAAAATACGCCAGCCCACAAATGTTCTTTTTACAGAAAACCTCTATTGACTTCTACCCAGCAACCATCTACAAACAACCCCTTATATTGATCTGGTAAGTTATGGTAATGCTACATTAGCATTTATTTCTCTGGATACATATTTAAACAGTAATTTCTTTTAAGCTAGTGATTACCTGGTTATGCTGAATCAATCTGAAAAGTGTATTTCTAGAACAGCTTCAGAAAATCTGGTGAGAGTTCCCCTTTGCACAGCAAGCATTTCTCACAGCCTCAGGCTCATGAATGGTTACCTGAGATCTTGAAACAAGGAGACAGACACAAATAACATCGGACGAGTCAGGACTGCACTGACATGAACTGGTTATCAAGTCAGGAGAAAGCATGCAATAGGAAGATACTATCTAAGACGTTTGAGGTGAGGTAGGTAGATAGATAAACCTTCAAACATACACAATCACTTCAGTGTTCTCCAGATTTAAGTTTAAACCCGAGGGATCTTAACTATCCTAAGAAATTTGGAAATACCTGAATAACTGATCTCACCAGATTATTTTTGGAAGATTATCAGTAGGCTGATTTAAGAAAATCACAGTCAGTTATTCTTAATTTTTCGTGCCAGATTTAGTACAGTTTCGGGAAGCATTCCCTCTAAAGTAACAAACCAAGCAGTAAACTCAAACAGACTAACTCAATCTTTCTCTGGAATACACATTCATTCTCACAAGATTTGAAATAGCCAAATGCTACTTTTTCTTTGAAGACAGTTTTTCTTTAAAGGGCCATGTTGAACTGTACCTTTTCTGCATGGATGTATGCTTACAGATCTCATCATATTCTATATTTAGAGAGATGAGCTTTCCAAAGGAAGACGGGCAACCAATAAGGAGGATCCCATCAAAAGAGAGGTGAGTTACTATGGTTACTTTTCAGGAGGGTGAGTAACAGTGAACGGCTGCTCCTGGCCAAATGGACCCTTTCCAGAAGAGGACCTAAAAAGAATGTTGCTCTCCATGCGTGTTGATTCTATCGGTTGAGACTACACTATGTCATCTTAGCCTTAACCACAGGCTTTCTATGGGCGCTTGCAGCTTACACGCGCATAGGCGGCGGATAGGCAGCGCAGTCAAAGGAAAGACAAGGCGGATTGAAAACTTCCAAACACTAACCCAACGGCGATGAGCAGGGGGATCCTCAGGAACCAATCCCAAAATTAAAAAATAAAAATAAAATCTAATCAGGTTCTTTAGGACCAGCCACTGGCCACTTTGCAATGGCTGGGGGCGGGGTGGGATCCCGGAACAGGTCCCTGTCCTCCCCCTCCATGAAACGAGTCTTTTTGAGCCTCAGAGGGAGACACCTGGCTGGATGAGTCCAGACCTACCTTGCGAGCTGGGTCCACTCACCAGGCGATCGGCGCGTGCACCTGTTTGGTAAAGGCGCGGGCTTCGGTGCTCACTCCTGCTTGTGCGGCGCTGTCACTCTTGAGACGGGCGCTGACAGCGGCGGCGGCGGCAACTGCAGCTCGGCGGGCAGCCCCGGCTCCTGCAGGTCCGTCCCTCCAGTCTCCGAAGCGCTTCTCACTCCGGGCTCGGAACGCTAGGCGGGCGCGCAGCTGTGCTCGGCTCGCATTGGACCAGAGGGAGCAGATGTTACCCGGTTGCTAGGAGCGTTGCTAGGAGGCGATGACGCCCCTCCACAGCTCTGGAGCAACTTTCCTGTAGGTCAGGTGCGCCGGCGGGGGCTGCTGGGAGCAAGGTGGAGAGCAGGGACGCCGAGGGGCGGCGAACAAAGGGCCCCAAGCACGGGAGCCCCGGCTGCGCTCGCCTAAATTGGGTCCGGGGGAGCGAACTGGGGAGCTGGGGGTGGGTGAGGCCGCGGGGCGGGGCCGGCGATGGGCGGGCGGGCGCCGCGCCTCCCAGCGCGGGGTCACTGGTCGTGGGCCCTAGCTGGACGTCCCCGGGGGAGGCCGGGTTCGGGAACAGAGGTGGGGCGGCACTTTCAGTGGTTGAGCCAACAGCAGGATTCGGTGTTTTTCAGACCCAGCTACTTCCGCTGGGATATTTTCCGCCTGGGAGTAGGACTGAGAAGGGAAGAGACGAGATGGAGGAGAGTATATATGTGACCTGGGGTGAGGAGGTTGGGGATGAGCAGTACAGGATCTTCTGCCTTCTGGGACTCTCCTCCCCAGTGTGTTTGTGTTTGTGTCTGCAGGGTTGAGCGGTTGACAGACTTTGAAGAGGGATATACTAACTAATCCATGAAAATCAGCCCAGAGTCTAATTCCTTTTGGCGCTGTCTGTGGCTGCCTACTGGCATGGTGCCTATAGTTTTAGAAAAAATGTTCCTGCGGTCTCAAATACCTCCTTTACACAGTTAGAAAGGCTTCAGTTTGATTCAACTGCTAATTAAAACCTCAGGCCAATATGTAAACTTCTTTAAAATAAAAATGTATTTTTCACAAAGGAAACTGGAGAAGGTGTATGCATGTTTCACTCATTTGCATTTTAGTATAAATTTACCCAAAAGGATTGTATCATTCTGATATCTCATTCAAGCTATATTTTTATTTCTTTTATACCATTGCTTTTCTGTTATTGTTAAGCAGAGCTATTTTCTTGGGGGAAGTGGATGATTAGAACATCAAAGTGGGCAAATTTGGGTAGCCAGTGAGCCAAATTAAAGAGAAAATGGAAATCCTAGTATAAAAATTTTGCTCAAAGCTATCCTCAGAAAGAATCTCACTGAAGAAGGAGGTACACCACTTCCCTGGTTCCCCATAGAGTCAGGCCAGGCCCTGGAAGGGAGGGAGCACCACTGGGAATCAGTTAAAAAGAAAAGTTGCAGTCTTTGGAGCCCAGGCAGGACTGCTGTGCAGTGTTTTGTGGGTTACTGAGGTGGCAGGCATTCTGCCAGGCTGATGGGGCTAGGCGGCTCTACAATTCTCAGGGACCTCTGCTCTTTTAGGCACCTACTTAATGCCTATGGCAAAACTTAACAGGTTTTTAGCCCTAAGATATAAAAGGCTGATAATCTAAAATTGAACTGTCTGAAGAAACAATAGCAAGCCACAGTGGGTTGAAGATCTGATTTCAGCCGTCAGGTATAAAAGGCGGCTTTCAGATTGGCACACTTCAAATCCAAGAGATGGCCACAGCCAGCATTGCACCACTGCTACTTCTTTCTCATTCCCAGTAAGGGAAGAATGAAGTGGATATCTCAATCAGCCTTGCTTTCTTGTCCAGATCATCTCAAGAGATTCCCTACTCCTTGTTCTTCAAGGTCTAGTCACACTGAACTTTTTTCAGTTTCCTTGAATGAGTAAGGTTCTCACTTGCCTGAGGTATCTTGTACATGCTGTTTCTTCTTCCTTAATGTGCCTCCCTTTCACCTGGCTTACTCCCACTCAGCCTTCAAGTTTCAGCTTAAATACCACTTCCTCACAGTGGCTTCCCCTGACAGCCTCCTACAGGCTAGATTAGCCCCCTAATTATGTTCCCAAATCACTCTACCGATCCCATTTCACAATATTCATCACATTAGATTTTAAGCTAGCTCTACCTGCTTAACACTGTGTCCCCAGTGTCTAGCATACGGCACCTGGTACATCAAAGGTAATCAAGAGCACGTGGGAGAGTAAATGGATCCACTGTGCCTGTCAAGGTCCCCGTATTCACCTTAGCTATATAGCTGTCAGTGAACTTACACAAAACACGAAGGCAGCCACTAGTTGCTGTCTTTTTCATTATTCAAGCAGAAGACTGAGGTTGGAGGAAAGCCTAAATGTACAGAAAATAGTTTTCTGCCTTTAATGAGACATCATGTTTGTAAAGCAACTTTTTTCCTTCTCAGAGCATCTTATAAGGTCACTACCTGTGTTTTAATAGCATTGGGAAATACTCCACCTAACATCATTTATATATTTTCCTAATTGTCTTTTCTACATGTCTTCCAAAGTGGTTGTGAGTCCTCTGAGATGAACTATTTTATCTTTCCTTAAAATATTCTCCTCTACCTTGGGTAAAAGCAGCCTCTATAATCACATACTGTATCTTTATGGAGCAAAAAAAAATTTATATATATATATATATATATCTCAACTTGGGAGCAGCTATCTTGTCCAATATTATACTTTATTTAAAACAGACTAGGAAACCTTTTCTGTTGTCAACCTAACTCACCAAATAATTGCCAAATCTCCCCTTCCTCTGGGACTACCTCAAGAAATATAACAGATGTTAGAAGACATGAAGGAAAGGTCAAGATAATCTCAAGATCACAGAATTGCTTGGTAGCAAAACTGGAAATAGAACACAGATATAATTTTAACCTTTACTGGGCTATTTATGCCTGCAGATATAATTTTTATAAATTCTGCAATTCTCCTGCTAAGTGATTAGAACAAATCTTTCACAAAACAGTTTTGGATTTTAAATTAAATATTAAAATACCATAAAAATCTACCTTAGAATTTATCCAAACTCAAATATTCTCACCACTGAATCTTGTCCCTCCTTAAGATGACCACTGATGTAATGCTAATCCTGTCTCCTACTTCTTATCTGTTTGCTGAAAAGAATGAGATATTTTATTATGTAGTGGAATGTACATTAAAATTCATAAGCACTCTGAAATGTCACCCAAGCTTCCCCTTGAGCCACATTTCTGAATCTTTCTGGAGATACCCCAAGGAAACTTAAAGAAATTATGAAGCTTACAAGACATATAATGTGATTTGATTCATCAATAAAATGCTACTCAAGATGGGTAAGATTTTTTTAATTACTACAAAAGAGGGAAAAATATCCCAAAGAACAAAAGAACCAGAGTCATAGATGGCTGTCTCAATAATTTTAACATTTGAGGATGGGTAAGCCCATCTTGAAGCAATGTCAGAAGACAGCAATTATTTGTCACATTTTAGGTTCTGCAGATGATGTACTCTAAGATTACTATATGGAAAAAATCTGTTCCCTCTGAATTATTTTTCTTTTGCTTCTAGTTTTATATTTGTTTTGATGTTTTTAATATGTCATATATGTATGTATTTGCTAGTCGATATATACATATAGAAAAACTCAACCTTGCTTAGCCTACTAGCTCCTGTGGCTTTGGAAATATGAATTCAAATGGTTTTTATTTGCAACAGTTCCCCTTAACAGTGTTGAAATGCTCTAAATCTAAGATGACTATGGGTGAGCAAGTAAAACCTTGAATCAGCCCATAATATTCTAGTGCCATCATGAGTTAGGAAGAACTTAAGCAACAAATGAGCTAGCCATGAGCAAACTTTCTGTAAATAATCACCACTACCATAGAATTGGAAATAAGATAATTAAAAGAAGAAAAAGATGTAAGTGTGCTACATACTGATTTAGAAGACTCTTGGCAATATTTATTTTCTAGACACACAAACTACAATCCCCAGGCTTCTTTAATATAGGTGGAGCCATGTGACTAGTTCTGGCCAATGGAGTTTGGACAGATGTGAAGATCACTACCTCTATGCCTGGCCCCTAAAACATATCCTCTGACTCTCATGCTTTGCCTTCCTCCCCCAACTGCATGGCAATAAAGTCCTTCGGAATCCATCACGACCCTGAGATGGCCATGTCAAAAGAGGAGCCTCAATCCCTTAGATGCTGCTAGAATGAAAACAGCATGGGCAACAAACCACCCAGATTAGGGAGAAATAAACTATTCTCATGCTAACCCACTGACACTTAGGGTAATTACAACAGGTAGCATTAATTGCCTTAACTAATACAATATGTAAAAATGGTAAAAATAAATTATCCCTGAAACATCTATAGAATATTTTTTCCATATTCTTTTTTGTTTGGGGCATTGTCAGCATGTTTCTATTGTTATGGAGGCATCTGTTTATAACAGCCCAGCTCCCTCTACTTCTAGCTTGCTGCATCTGAGTCTAATAAGTAAACTTACAAGAACTTGGCATATAGAGAGGGGAAAGCATTCTGGACAAGAGCTTCTGTGATGAGGAATTACCTACACTTTTGTACATGAACACCTACATTTTGCCTTCTCAGAATCCTCTTCAGATGCAATTTAGTTAATTCGGGTGATCTTCACGTTCATATAGCTCCTTACCTATTATTTCAAATTCAATACTTTCAACTAGCATTTGAGTCGATATATGTTGACTTATATAGGTGTTTACTATAAAAGCCTACAGCACACTGAAACCAAATAAATTATATGGATCATAAATGTAATGCTTAGAGTTCTAATATATATGTCTGCAGTTGGTATGGTTTTAAAGTTAATGGTTTTTGTATATACTAAAATAAGCAATATCATTCAGGCCCATAAAATTTGCATGTTGATGCTACAAAACTGTATCCTTTTCTGACATAAAAAATTTTCACACATGTACATATAAGCCATCTGCTAAAACTTTATTGATAAAACCAGTAGCAGCAGTTTTACAAAATTGGAATGATTTTCAGTTTTCATGAACTATCATGAATTCAGTTGCAGCAGACATTTTGTACCAACTGGGACTAATGCTTCTTCTATGTTTCTGTTTTAAACAAAAAGCAATTAGAATTTATCCTCATGCATTTAAATATCTAATACAGAAATAGTGTTTAGGCTGCATAAAATATGCTTTCAAACA